ACACATCTGTATCTCAGCATATACTGCCGTTTTTTTATTTGGAATCATTTTCTCTCAGCAAATCCCCTTCTATTTCAAAAACCAAGCGCCTCCTCCCTCTGCGTTCTGACTTGTCTTTAAGGCTTGGAGGAATTTCTCGTCTCCCCTCACCCTTTCTGCTGGCATAAACATCATTTATCTTCCTGTGCTCCTCTATCTCTTCGTCACTTAAGAAAAGAATAAACTTTGAATCCTGCCCAAGTGTTGGACAACAACCATATGGGATCCTTGGTTGCCAGGTCACTCCATAGCTTTGTAGGTGAAAAATCAGATTAACTCAAACTCAATGTAATATACTATAAAAGGTTAAATGTGGTATAGTGTTTATCAGTGTAATAGGAATGACTTGCTGCTGAAAGGATTTAATCTCTTTGAAATGGTCTTAAGAATTCACATAGCGTTTCAGTTGAAGTTTTGCATGAGCAAACTTTTGACTCAAAGTTTAGCACTCAAACTGTTTCTGAGAGAAAGAGCTATTCCATTAAAAAGAAGGGATAACAAAATATCCAGGAAACAGTAATACATGTGATATTGTGATTTAGAATAAAGACATAACATTAGTCTTCGTCCCTGTTTCTGGCACAGAGCTCCTAAAATCCTGGAAATTTCTGAGTTATAGGAGTGAAAAAGGTGTCTTGGCGTTTATGACAAACCCCTTTCAAACACACCTGGGTTTACATTAATGAGGTGACTTTTGGAAGGCACTTAAGGATGGGGGCTGGTTACCAGAGGAACCAACTAGCTGATTAGAGTGTTGGAACTTTCAGTCCCACCATGTCCCCTGACTTCCAGGGCGGGGCAAGGGGCCAGAGGTTGAATCAATCTCCAAGGGCCAATGATTTACTCAGTCATGCCTAGTAATGAAGTCTCCATAAAACCCCAAAAGAACAGGGTTCAAAGAGCTTCCAGGTTGAACATGAGGGTACACACCTGGAGAGGCGATGGAAGCTCTGTATGCCTTGCCCTGTGCATCTCTTTCATCTGGCTGTTCCTGAGTTACAGCCTTTTGTAATAAACTGGCAATCTAGCAAGTGGAATGTTTCTCTGAGTTCTGTGAGCCACTCTAGCAAATTAATTGAACCCATGGAGGGGGTCTTTGGAACCTCCTATCTATAGCAGGTTGGTCAGAAGCACA